TCTGACATTTTTTTTTACAACATCGTCGAGTGGTTTCAAACATACGACGCTATCAGTAACCTATATGTAAAGTACATCCACCCTAAGAGGGTCATCCGCTGCGGAGAAGTAGGTCCCTCCGTCGGCCGCGTCCTAGTCGGGAGCACACTCCTGTGTATGTAAATATAGTCGTTCTATACACAATCCTTAGCACCTTTTTCCATCCTGGGTTTACGTCTGATGTTTTTCCATTTCCAATATTTGTTTTCGCTCGAAATAAAATTTTTTACTTTTTTGTACCGTACTTTTTGTGTCCATCGTGTTTGTGTGTTGTGACTGGCACTGGTTGTTCCTCCCTCTGTCCTCTCTGATTGTTCTCGCACTCCCTCCTGTCTGTTTGTTACTTGGCTGTCCCCTTGTGTCCTTCTCCTGTTCTGATTTAATTTCCCTCCCCATTAGTCCTCTGCTCTTTGTCGGCCCCGTCCCTCCGTCCTCTTGTGTTCGCCCGTTGTCCGACTTGTGTTAATCGTGTGAGTGTGTGTGGTCCTTTGATGTACTGTCCTCATTGTTCTGTCTAATAAAGACTAGGTTGAGTTTCTTATGTCCACCTGTAACTACCACTCCACACACTCGAGTGGTAGCCGTAACCCCCCCTGTCGCATGACGACAACATAGGGGTCGCCTCAGTAGAAGGTACATGTTGCAACCTCTCAACAGGAGAGCGGTGTATAAAGTACTCCACAGACGAAGGTTTTCCTGCTCAATATCGATACATATACAATACGTTTATACGGAGTGCCAAAGGCAGGACTACTTTATGACGAATGTTTGCGCTGGAATACAAGACAGGTGAGTGGACGCCGTAGAAAAGCAGTAATGTCACGGCCTGGAGAAGGGCAAAGAGGACCCTTGTTCTAACGGGGAAGTTTTTCCCGGGGTTATTGTTTAGGACAAAGAGACGACCGAGGGGGGTGGTGTCCAAAAATCTCGTCGGGCTGGTGTTTCTGGTGCCGACGTGAAACGTAGGTGACTGTGCTTTGTCTTTGTGTCTGACATCTGTCCTGCAAAGTAGTCGGTGTTAAATTTGGTCACAAAATCTATATAATGTTTGACAAATTTCTAAAAAAGTTTTGTGTACCATCACCACAACGCATAAAAAACGTAAATAAGTGCATCTATTAAAACCTACTAAATCGACTCTAAAATTTGAGTAGAATTACGTTAAATAACTAGTAAATTCCAGATCCGGTCCCCATCGGTTGTGGCCACGGGCGTCCCCGTTGCCACTCAGCGGGCGTCCCCGTACAAGATTTATATTCCGAGGGGTTCGTTTAGTTTTACATATTCTTAGTGTGTTTGGTTTTTTCCTCTACATTAATTTTCTTAGATGGGATACGTATTTGATTTGGATTTTAGTATCGCTTGAGATAAGATGGAATGATGTTGAGATATAGATGTGGGCGCAGGAGGTGCGGGTGGCGGGTGTTACTTATAGCTGTTGAGTGCAAGCAACGAACTAAACGCCCGGTGGTCGGCAACGTGCAGCCCTTCTTTTCGTTACACCGTGGAGGGGAACGACTAAAAGGGAAGACCGTCTTAGATGTGTTTGTGTAGTCGGGGTAACTTGTCCGGATCAGCACGGTCAGATATGTTGTGATAACTCCCCGTCTCGAAATGAGACACACAACGTTGAACGGATATATAAATGAACGTGAACTGCGGTGTGTTGCGTACCGCATGTAAAAGGTGACCCCGTCTCCCCCTGTACAGGGGGCTGTGAAAAGCTTAGGGCAAACACAGGGGGGTGAATGTTTATACACATAATAAAAAAAAATTGCCGTTGCGGCAGCAGCGGTTCCTCCTCGTGTGTCGAGACACTCCTCGCGCTCGTCTCACTCTCTGTCTGTCTGTCCTGCTCTCTCTCCTCTCGGAGATACCTCTCGTGTGGAAATAGATAAATTATATCCATTTCATCTTTAAGTAAGGTTACACATGATGATACTGTCTTACCAGGATGATTATAATAAGTGTTAGTATCGTACTCATTGCCTAGTTGATATATTTTGAAGGTACGTACGGGGGCGTGGGGACTCCTCACACCTCCCGCAGAGTGGGGGTTTATTCGCCAATTTAATTATTATAACTTATGTAATAAGAAAATCAGTTGTGACTTTCTGTGGCTTGTCGTGTGTTTCAACTCTTCCAGTCGTATCAACTGATTACGAATATTTTACACGATTTTATATGTGACGTTTTTCGTTTTTTTCTCCTTATGTTCATGAGGCTGAACCAACTAATAAAAACTTTTTTCGAGAGTATGGATTGTTTCCAACCACTGGTGACCAGATCGCGTTACGTGTCGGGAGGACCATCGACTTAGTCTACTTGTAAAGCAAAGGGTAATCACCTAGCAGACTAAGGGGAGGAAAAAATACATTTATTTCTTTACAGTCTGAAAAAGAAAAAATTGCTGAAGAGCACGGTACGAAGAATAGTTACGACGAGGCGTTGTGACCAAGGCCCTGACACACCAGGCAGTCACCAGAGAACTCGCTGACGCTGACTGTTGCGTTGGCGTGTTCTCCTGCGTCTTGGCCATGTGTCGCATTGGAACACACCGCAAAGACTTCTGCCGAGCACGTACGAACTGCGCATGCGTGAGTGGCAATAACTCTCCTTACCAGCAGGCGGTGGTAGTGTGTATTTGTCATTCAAAAGAGGCAACAACCGGAAGACAGAGAAGAAGAACAGACTGCGTGATCTAAACAAACAACAAATAGCGTGTGCGTTCCATTTTCCCTCTCGTCCATCGAAAACATGTTTCGTGCGGTACTGGAGCTATCAGCCATTGGAGTGTTGCTTGTGGAAGACATTCTCAAGCAACCGTTTCGCTTCTCATGCACTGATTCGCTAGCTGAACAGCCAATCAGAGTGATTTCTTTTTTGAATCGGCCGTGCGTCGGCCATGAAAGGCCAAATAAGGCGTGTCACGGCCTAAGGTGCGGGACACACCAAATTTAGTTTGGGCGACAGGCCACGCTTCGTCGTCCGACTAACGAAAACGGCCGATTTCGGCCTGGTGTGTCAGGGCCTTTAGAGCTAAATGACCATACAAAGACATTAATTCAAATCAGGGCACAAAGGTACGGCGACACACAGATGCAAACTCGCAACAACAGCCCAAAACACTTCCATAAGGAAGCTGCAGCTTCAGAAACAATGCAAATATAAAACACAACTGTGCCAAAACACATGCAAATGACGACATGTCTTCACCAACTTGAAAACACTTACGCAGCCTGAAAGTAAAAAAAAGTCTCTTCTAATGGAAGTGTTTCGGGCCTTTGTAGGTGTTTATTCCTTACTGTTAAAACTAACAGAACCCACTGTCTCTGTTAGACCCGGGAACATTTGTCAAAAGCACAGCGTGGCCTTGTGGGAGATGGAGTCTCCGAGGTGATGACCAAGCTGAGGGTGACCTCCAGTGATGGGACCAGCTACAGCGGAGACCTGCTGGCCATCGTGGACGTGCTGAAGAACATGACGGAGATCTTCAGGAGGGCGTACTACAGCCCCAGCAGCACAGACATGAGGGTGAGGAGATGCTATTTGAGTTTACTGCTAGTGGACGGCTGTCTATAAACTTGTTTGAGGACATTTTCTACCCTAGAATAAACCAGTAGAGGTTAAAGATTATATTATGCTGTTTGGAGTTCTCCCTCTACTGTAGTGTCTTCTATGTATATGTTGTGGTGCATACTGGAGTGCTTTGTTTACTTCCATAGCATAGTGACATCACTTTGTAACATTTGCGCTTCTGTTGGCAAGCACTCCAACACATTGTATGTGATAGGCTAAGGGGCGGGACCCTCTAAGCCAGGAGTGTCAAACTCAAATGCGAAATGTTGTCATGAGCCCCCCCCGGTTCGTACACGTAACTCTCTCTTCTTGACTCTAGAATAGAAAGATAACAATGTCATATGTTTTTTAAAATACTGTTTTGCAGAACTTTGTGCAGTCAGTCAGCAATCTTTTGATGGAAGAGAACCGGGATAGATGGGAAGAAGCACAACTGGTGAGCCTCCCCCTCTCTTTCTATAACTAGATTTACATCATCACACATTCTGTAATTAGTGTCTTTAGTAGAACTAAGGGTACAGTAATGACAACAACCCTTCCGCTGTAGAACTGATGAGTTAGACAGTGTTACAAAGACACAGGTGGACCAGCAGCCCACCTGTCAGCAGAGTGACAGAGGCAGAGGAGGGCTACTGAAGGACAGAAATATCTGCAGCTAATGAGTAACCGAGTCAATGCTAACACCCACTCCTCCATCTGCTGTTCTCATCCACTTGTGCCTCACTATCTGTGCCTCCCTTCAGCCGTCCAGCTGTCCGTGCTTCTCTCGCCATGCACACACCAGAAGAATGCCAAACAAACCAACTCCAGAATGAGTGTATTCAAATGCAAATATCAAGCACTGTGCAGAAAGAGTTTGCTATTCCCCTGTGAGACGATAATATGAAGAGGCACATTTTTATAATATCCACTAACTGTGTGGCTCTTACCTTACTGTAATATATTTTCTTTGTTAACATTAACAAAACACATCTTATTTGGTATAAACACAACATCACTGCTCACCAGTCTGAAGTGTGGATGTAATGTTTCATATTTCTGAATCTGTGTGTCCCTGCTTCAAGGCCGAAACACTTGTTTATTTATTTCTCGTGGGTAAATAATGAATACCTTGCAGTGACTTTAAAGTTCATCCTATCTCAAAGCCAAAACTTCTCTTTAGACCGTTATCAGGGCTAAAGAAGGATTACCAGCAAGGTCAATCTCCCCCTGAGACTCCAGCCCCGCAGGGGGCAGGACCCCAGTTTACCATGTGGCAATAACGGAAAATGAATTGACTTGCTTATATAATGGTCAAGCTATATTTATCAGGTTTCACTTCTCAGCAACTTGTTTTTATACTCAAAGTAAAATACATGGAGAAGGGAGGACAACGCTTTATAAAGCGGTCTATAAGGTAGCCGGAGATGATTATATTATACCAACAAACACACTTGTAACTCAGAGTTGTACTACTATACATGTGTTATTGTGATCAGCCAGAAAAGAGATTATTTCTGTGTTGTGTTGTCATTATTGGGAAAACATGGCGCTTGCAATACCATTCATTTATTTATTATCATGGCAAAAATAAATAATAAGATGGACACTAAGGAACTATTTGATAGAATAATACAGTGACTATAATGAATTGACTCGCCATTAAGTGTCAAGCTTTACCTAGTAATTTAAAAGAAGTACACAGTCATAACCAGTGTATATGCACAACATGAGATATGAATGTTTGCTGTGTGGAATTTGAGAAACGGTGCCTGTAACTATAAAAAGCGCTTCTTTATGAAATACTTTCTATTTCAAATGCTTCAACAGCAGTTTACATTTGTATCAATACAGTTTGTTTATTAACCTGAAATCCATAATCCTTTTTCTTATATTATTCTTTTGTATCTGTGTCCCTCAGCTGGGACCCAACATCAAAGAGCTGTTCCGTCTGGTGGAGGACTTTGTGGACGTCATCGGCCTGAGGATGAAAGACTTCCAAGACATGTATGAAGTCACCGATAACCTAGGTCAGCCTTATCTCCATCACAGCTATCTCTGCTCATCAAAAGAAACTCTTATCACAGCTCTGCTCTATTTTCTGATGATTGATCTCCATATCTACAATGGAAATACATAGGAGGCAGGAAAAAAGGGGGGGGGGGGGGGGTGGTGACATTTCCTGTGCCCTCACTCAGAACTCCTTCATATCATCTATGTTTCTATTTTAGCTTGTCACATATATACAAATGAAATGCTGGTGTGTGTGTTGGCCAAAAGGTGAGAAGTATTACATAATATAGATAAACATGAACATACATGTGATAAAGATATGTACTTTTGAAAGCTCACAGTTTGTCTGTCCATTAGATCATTAGAGATGATGTCACACAGAAAAAGGAAATTATAAATGAATATCTAGAAATGGTATTTGTATTATTTTGACTGCATACTGATCAAAAAACAATAATACAATATATTTGAACTACACGAGTAATTTAATAAATATTGATATAGGATGAATTTGATTGAACAGATGCTCTTCTCACTGCAATTGTCACGCATTGATTTGGCATCACTTATTCATTTAGTTTTCTGTTGCTGCTTTTTATTTGATCTAAAGTTTATTTTGGTGCTTTCAATGCCAGACACAAAGAACACCTTGAAATGAAAGTGGTAAGGAGAACCAAAACAAGCTTTGGATGACGTCCATAGCAACAGGCATTATTTTATGCCCCAGCTAAAATAAATGAATCTTTCGTAATGTTTGATCAATGAACACTCATTTCACTCATGATGTGATTGGTCACTCTTATATTGGAGACGAGTAGTGGTGGTTCAGAGACGTTAAGGATTTACAAGTACATCTTTTTTAATTCAGCTGCATATAGTCTGAATGGTTTATCAGCATTTCACTCAATCTGACTACATTTGTTGAACTAGCTAAACAAAACTGAGCCAAGATCCTTATCTACCATCTTTTCAAGTGAAACCTTCACACACACACTGTAACTGCATTGTGAGTCTCTATAGCTTTGATAGACTGTATATACACATATGTATTTAAAATCTTCAGCTGCATTTGTCCTCATCAGTTGCCGCCCCTGAGTTTTGTCCTTGTCCATTATATATAAATACAATCAGATTCCACCACTTCATCATCCCTTAAGGAAAAGGTCTGGTAAATGATGAATTACTGGAGAACACTGAATAAAACATGTTTGAATACTATCGTATCCAGCCAGATGGCACGACTTCTATAGCATTCTATTTCTGTGGCTCAGTATCTACAACAAGAGAACAAACCCCGGTCAATATTATGATTCCCCAGGGCCGCAGGTCCAGCAGATCCACATTTATAACAACCTGCTGTCTGCTTCCATTGCCCACTCACTGTAAACGCTCTATCGTCCTCAAATAGGGGGAAAACATGGTGCAGTCATCACAGAGGCTCCGCTGCTCCCTGTGACCTCCAGATAAAAAGGACTTTGAGTTTACTCAGGGGAGAGTGTGTGGGAATTGGGGCCAGATGAGAGGTCCTGTTTGTAGCGGGGCCACCTCGCTGTCTGGAGCCCAGCAGCCGCCCACACCTGCAGCGGCCCTCCCCCGGGGGGCTGACCTCACCCCCTCCCACTCCATGAGCAGAAACAAAGTGGCGCACATTGTCTGCTAACATGGAGTCAGATCAGCTTCCTCCTCAAACTCATCGAAGTAGTTAGGTTGTGTAAGACGAGGAGACTCATCAACTCCAACTGTGTCTGGAACTGCTTTTTTAATCCGTCCGCGAGCACGACGGCATCTGTGATCCCTCGCTCTACCCCTAGCTATAGCGTGAAGGGTCTGCTTTATGCGCTCCGCACAGTAACCCTGCTGCGAGGCTCTGGCGAACAGTTCATGAGCGTGCTCACTAGCTCACTGCATATCTTTTCTAACACAAAACCACTGAAATGCGTAGTGCATGGTCCGAGAAGGACAAACAAATCAACGTAACACTGTAATATTACAGATCAATAACACAGATACCATTCTCATGCATTCATTTTATATACATTTTATTTATATAATTAAATCGATCTTTTGTTTGTTTTATCTGAGTGTTCCAGGGTATTCTCTGAATACCTTGAAGGCCCTGACGGTTCGACACTGGTCAACAAAGTAATTTGTCAAAAGTCAGTTTGGACTTTTCTTGCTTTCCTCTATTTTATATCATATTAAACTGAACATCTTTGGGATTTGGACAGACAAAACAGGATATTTAAAAGGCATCAGCTCGAGCTTTGAGAAATTAGGATGGACATTTCTCACAATTTTTTTTATAGACCACAAATGATTAATCAATCAACTAATTGTTGGTTTGAGCACTTCTAAAACATTGTAAGAGAGTCAAAGTTGTACAAGATTAAAAATTTCAGTGCATGTAAACTGTAAGAAATATTTAAAAAAATCAGTCAGATAAGAATACTTTGTACATCACACAACAAAAAACTACAGAATTAAGGAAGCATAGGCTGGTATGAAGACGCAATAGACAATATGTGCACTACAGACTGTTATGCAGTGATACCATTGCTGTGCTATCCTTCTTAAAATAAAGTTCAAAACAAACAAACTAAGACATATCAATGCGTGATTATCAACACCTTTAAAATACCATATGAACTCTTCTCTCTAACTTGATGTAGATGAAATACAGTGTCGGTAGAGCGAGCACCCAAGCTTCACATCACACTCATCACACACATCCTCTGATGTTAAGCAGTTTAAGGACAACAACAGCTGAGGAAGAAATCTGGTAGAATAGAAATCATAAGCCATGATCCTGCTGGCTAGCAAGCGGCCTAGCTATCTCCCTCCTGCAGGCCTCCCATGCCAGCTTAGCCTAGCCGCTCTCAACCAGCAGATCTATATGCAAATGGTTTTCCACTGCCAGTTTGACTATGCAAGGTTCAGGTAGCTTAGATCCTCACACACATTTCACATGATAGGAATGCCAGTCTAGCACTCTTCCCCCATGTGGAGCCAGGTATATGCTTCCCCTTTAACCTTTAACCTCTGAATAGTTCCTGGGGCGTGGAAGTCCTTTTAATAGTCCGGTGACTGGCCAAAGAAGACATAACAGCATGACAGCAGGGCAGCACGGTTTGGGTACAGGGGGGGTTGACCTCTGTGTCTGCCTCATGATATACATAGTCTGGCTTGATATATAGCCTCTTCTTGTCTGTGGATTACCATACATCAGCATGGCACACTACAGTTGTCCCTAGATGGCCATCAAATCAGGCCCAGAGAATTAGGGATTAGAGCTGTGGGAAGGGGGGATCTCCACTAGGGAATAACTCATGAGTCACACATTCCTTATTAGAGGAGTTTGAGAAAAGAAAGTTAATCAGCGATTCTACAGTAGATAAAGAAACTTTGTTCAAACTTACAGTGAATCAAATGTGTGTTGCTGCCGTTTTCTATCATTGTTAAAAGAAGTCTTTGAATTTCGGACCCATGTTCGATAGGGTAAAAGCATTTCAATATGTCGCCGTCTTTCAAACAATGTGCTCATAAATAAAAAGAATAATGAAAAAAATAATGATAGTGAAAATATCTTAAGTTGTGGTGTGATAGGGGGGGCTGGGGACAGGCATGTGGTGGAAACTGGTCACGCTTTGCCCTGGGACAGCTGTGAGGCATGCTCACTCCTAGCAAGTGTCAACAACACATGACAAGACACATGTAACTCAACCACTGGCCACAAGAACATAGTTGGCCCCCTGTGTGCTGTACACATTCCTGGGATGACAGGGGAAAAAACAAAGAAGCGTACATAAATACAGCCGTTTGAAACACAAGTCTTTATCAAGTGTTTTGTGCCATCCAGTAAATACTGATTTTGTCATGTGTTTTTTTTTTTTCTTCGATTAGCTATGGGTTTTAATAAGCTAGTGCGGGTCGAGCTGGGCCAAGTAAGGCTGGGGGTAGTGAGAGCGACAGCTGATGTCGGGGTGTGTGCTCTATGCTGTTCTGGCGAAATACAGCTGGTCTGTTGCCAAGCAAAAAGGAATACACGGGCTCACAACAGTTCCTCTCTGCAGGCACCTCCGCAATCCTCTCCACTTAAAGGTAATCGAAGGTCCCAACATACCTCACTCACTCTGCCCTGCATTTGGCTTTTCCTTGTCACATAGATGGACACAAATTCAGACTGAGCCTCATGGAAGCACTCAGGTGGGCTTTAAAACTCATGTTTGATTAATTGCTCTGCACTAAAAGCCAAGCTGTCGTGCATAAAAATCAATCTTCAATTATGGAAATGCTTTGCGATGATTTAAAATTCACCAAGGCTGTCATATCTCATTAGAGCGCTGATCATACGATGGATTTCGCTTTGTGGTTTAAACCTCTCAACCTTTAAACTTTAAGCTATGAAGTGTTAAGTAATAATAGGTGTGCTTTATCTCGCACCCTCTAACTGCAGAATGGTAAGGGTCAGAGAAAATGGAGCCTAATGTGTCCTCATCCCACCTCCGCATTAGTCGCATCACAGGAGCAGAGTCCTCAGTGAGGGAAACACGGCACAGCACATCAAACTCTCATTAGACAGGATGAAACTTTAATGATCCCATGATTGCCATGGGGACACTGGGCTGGTTCAGCAGCAAGCAAACATGAGATACAACACAAACTAAATGTAAATGATCGTGGATAAAAGAGAAAAAATAGCGGTTGCAATATTTATGTGTTAAATAGACTTGTTTAGGCCAACATGCCAACACATTATAGTTTGAACAGTAAGACTGTTGCAGAGGAGGGAGCAATGAGAGATTGTAGAGGCGGAGCAGCTTCTGCAGCTCCATCAGCCCTCTTGTTGAGCCGTTTGGACAGAAACAATTGGACAATCCTGACGGCTGTTGGCGCCAAAGTGCACATAAAACACTCCATGTTGCACCTTCGGGGGGTGAGGGGGAGGCTGTTGTTCCGAGGTGAAGTGGGAGGTGATTTTGGTAGGCCTCATTTATATCTCACTACAACACAGTGTAGTTTAGTGTTTGGAATGAAATACATGACAGTCCACTCAACTTCGCCCTGTACACTGTCTTTGTATTGTCAGAGCAGTTTCAGAGGATGTCAACTATAACTACTATAGTGTCG